ATCACAATCAGGTGAATGAATGAGAGTGAACAGGAATCGGGAACAGAGAAAGGGTATTCCGGAAAAAATTTGATGTCAGTATGTGCCTACTAGAACCTCCTCGCACTTCCAACAAGACCCTCGATTGAATGGTGCTCAAGCTCGTTCCTCGCTTTCAAAATCGCAGCATGCATCTCTTTCATCGCATTCCCGAGCTTCACTCCGAATCGACTTAATATATCCCGTTGCCATGCGTCGTACTTAGCGTTGACTCGGGCTTGCACTTGCTCGTAATCGACGATACACACACCGAAGCTACGTTGCGTCTCTGATGTGTCAAACGTCGAACGCGTTTTCTTGATCTCGGTAAGAAGCTGTTGCCAGTGAGCCAGAGAGTCGCCCAAGCGGTTAAACACGTATTCGGCTTCGAGATCCCAGAGGGACTGGAACTGTAGCCATTTTGCGACGTAGTCTTTCAGCTGCTGAACCTTGAGCTCGATTAAAGCAAAAGATCGCTCAAGCGTATTGTCGGGGAAGTGCGTGAGCTGCAAAATGTCAGTTACCAGAAATACATGTACCCAGGACCATTTGCGTACTAGAGATGTGTAGGTTGTCTCTGATGCGAGGTTGCGCTGCATCTGCAACCCGATTTCATATCGCGAACTCTGGATGCGACAAAGTCGACAAATAACACCTATACGCAAGCGGTCAGCAAGCCGTTCCGGCACTAAGGTGGCAAAACATCGTACCGAGCCAATCATGTAGTTGTTTGATCCACGTGGAACGCGCATATTCTATTGGAGGATCCAAGAAAATGACCTGGTTCTGTATCCGAATCTCATGCACGATGGGTTTGATGGTGATGCTTCCTTCGACGAACTAGACACAAGTGCAATGTTTCAGAGCTTATGGATTAACCAGTCGATAGTATCTTACAGACCTTCTCTTCTCGGCTGCCCTTGCCCCCCCTTCGTTTACTTGTTGGGTCACGCAGTGACATTGTATCGCGTCGGCCATCATCATCAGCACGGTCGAATTCGGAGCACCAGACTTGAATGATATGCGCCAACCGTTGCAACAGAATGCTTTCTATTCGCTTGTCGAGCTCTGCCACCCAATGTTCCAGATTAGCGTAGCCTTCCAGATTCAAACGGTCAATCTATCGAAAAATCGACGTCAAGAATAGCTCAATAACCACTGAAGTGAGGGTTGTACCGCAGCTTGTATCTTGCTCAATAACTCCGAAAACGCCTCACTGGTATATGCGCATGTCGCGAGGTCCTCGACTGCACGAAGAATGTCTCGATACAGATCGATCACGTTGTTTGTTTTGTCCTGTAAGACAGAAACTACACTCGCAAACTCCCTGACGAATTGGATATGTCTGTTGTCCCGCCCGTCCGCGCTTGATACGAAACGGGCGGTATCGTAGTGGTTAACAAAGTGGTCCCAACGGATATTCATACCTGTTGCGCCACATCAACTCACGATCCGCCTCACAAACGAGCAGGAGCCAGCACGTACCCTTTGCAACCATCCTTTGCGCATCATTCCGATACTCGGCGACAAGCCACTCGATTCCCTGGTTCTTTTCCACCAAGTCCAGCGTTTGACCATACGTCCTTACCGTCTCCATCAACGAAACTGCATGCGGGTACACGCGTTTTGCGTCTTTAGCCATGTTTGTGATCATGTGCGGGACTTGGAACCCAAGCCAGAGCAAGTTCCGCACCTCCTTGAATAACGTGATCGTCTGCGGATCGAAATTGACCGCCAGTTGGAACCCGCCACCGCGCAATCTCACGATCTCAAAGAGGCGTCCGTTAACGGCCATATCCCTCCGATTGATGTCATGCAGCCAGGCATCGTAGACGGGCCGGACGTCAAGCTTCTTGCGGAACGCTGCAGACTCGGATTGGAGTTTCTGCCCTTCTGCGTACAATTCCCACCCTTTGCCCAGTACGTCCTCTACTCGCTTCATGTAAGCCAAAAGTTGCCGCTCTATTTGACGAGCCCAAATGATGGCACCAGCAATAGGTGGAAGGTCACGCATTTGTGACATGTGGTAAGCTTCTGAAAAGCGATATTGAGTTTTAAACTGGGAGAGAGTTAGTAACAAGAAATCGGGAAATAGTCGTACGCTACCTTGTCATGCAATCGCTTAATGTCTTCTTTCACTGAATCAATGAGTTGCGTTTGGTACTCTTGAATGGCACCACGGATCTAGGCAGGACGCAATGAGAGATGTGAGGAGTGACGTGAACACAGAGGATCAAGACACACCTTCGGCCGTACAAACAAGGCGTTGAACTTGGAGAATACTCTGAACATTTCGTTTGCGTTGCGAGCAGTACCAAGCCTATCACGCAGCCGTGCAATGATCTGATTTTCCACCCTCGCAACCCGTTCATTGTATGCGTTCTCGGCAGCTACCCATATCTCCGTGCCCTCTATAGCACATCCGTGTTGAGTATTGAGTCGACATAGGGAGACCGACGTGTGACATACCAACCGACACATCAAGAACATCGATACGTTTTATCACTTCATATGCTTCCTTAACTTCCTCTTCCATATCCATGCCCCCGACTTCCTTCGCAAGAGTCGTCAAGCCTTTCGTAGGCCCCGTCATCACCGCGAGTTGTTCATGCTGCTTTCTCCAATCTCGGAGATAGCGCACCCGTTCCTGGAGTTTCGCGTGTGCAGGAACTACCTTGATAGGAATGAATTTCTCTGATCGCTTGCGCGTCACTTCACGCGCAACATTCGTGAACTCTTTAATGAGATCATCCCACGTCCGGAAAATGTTCAGAGTTTGTGAGAGAAGCCGATCGAAGGTCTCGTACGGTGTGTACGGGAGTCGGTGGGAGGTAAGTACGCGCAAGAGCTGATCATTGAAATCCCGCGATATCGCTTCAACCAGCGGAAGGGCACGACGTATCGGATACGGCGACAGTTTAAGCTTGCGGTTGATATGACCGAAGATGAGAACTAATGACTCTTGAATTTTATCTAGGTCGGTCGCGGAAAGGAGCTCGTTCAGCGGGAAGTCCTTCATCAATTGATTGTACTTGTGCACTAATGGAAGATAAAGGAATGTCAGAAATCAGAGCGAGATTGTGCACGCACCTAAATCCATCGCAGAATTGAGACCGGTATCAGCGATGAAACTTGTGGTTGCGTGGTATCGTTTTGCATTGCGAAGACACTCCATAACCATATTCACCTCTTCGCTTCTTAGCTGTGCCTCGATCCCTTCCAGTGCCCGTTCCAGACTAAGCCAGAAGTTGATCTCTTGCGAAGCAGTGCCAGACGAGACGTCTCGAGAGAGCTTGGTGACCGCCTGGATAGACTTAATCCATTGGTTCACGTGAGAGTGCAGAGTGTTGAGAAAGGTGCTGTCATTAAGGTGTCGTGCTGGAATGAACGATATATTCGGTCGTACGTTGGCTACCTGGGCCTACGCACCGTTTAATTGAAAGTCGGTGTCAACAAAAAGTGCACGCTACCTGTTCCACGGCCCGTTGGATGACAGGATGTATTATGAGATGCGTTTCTGGTATTTCAACGTTCTGTTGTAAATGCAGAAGCGATAGCTCAAGTTCAGCGAATTTCTTCTTCGTCATAGGTATGCCTGAACCACGATTAGAGTAATCAAAGAGATTTGGACACGTCCTACGCACCCATTTTGGTGTCGCCTTCCTTTCCAGTGCCCCGAGCACCAACAAACGCATCAAACCATGGTTTCACTCCGCAGCTCACTACCGCGTGAAGGGACTCGTAAGGCGTTTCTTCCCCACCGAAGAGGTTCAAAATGTGTAACTGAGTGGCGAGAGGTGCCAAGGGATCGAGAGCGTGACCGCGCTTGATGAGTGCCAGTGCCATCGCATTCGATGGTGAATACGTGAGTTGTGAGGCTAGTTGATAGTGATATCGCGGAGGCACGTCCTCTGCTACGCGTCTTAGACCATAGGGTAGATGCAGATCTTTGTATAGTCTCACCTTCTGAATCTTCCCTGATTTTTACAACGTAGATCACGCCTCCTCCCTCTGCTGCAAACCGTGTCACCCTCTCTTCAAATTCGTCGTCAAACAAGGAGAAGAGTTCCTCAGGAGAGGCGCCAAGTGCGGGAGGTAGAAGAGAGAGGAGATAGGATTTAAACATTGACACGTCGAATGTAGGAGAAGGTGCTGCATCTGCAGGGATGTCATGAGGGAGTACGCCATTAGAGTTCGTCAAGGACGTTGGCGTTGGAGAAACGTTCATTGTAGACATGGTGACGCTGAAACGATCGAAGCCACCGTCGTTAGCGATAGTGGTATGTGTCGAGGAACGCAAAGTCGGAGGAAATTAGGGTTGTTGATCGACAGGCTTTTCCAGCAGAACGACGCTGAAGAGAAAATCAGGACCCACTCTCCAGCAATTTAGACAGAACATTGTTACCCTTGAGTGTTTCGAGCGCCGTAGCTCGCAGGACGTCTTTGCGTATGGATATTCGCGACGACGACTGAATAACTGTTACTTGGTAGTTACTCGGGGCAGGTCAAGCAGATGTGACCCACACACACCACAAAGGGAAGGTCACACAACTCTCTGTGACATGCACTGTCGGCTGTTTGGATCCCAACTGCTACTAGTAACAGAGTGCTGGCAAATCATGGCAATATCTGTGCACATCAGCGCTCCGAGCAGCCAAAACGAGACCGTGCTCATCACGAGTCGTGCTGCAGACCGCAGTAAGATGTCGCCCGGACTCCAAATGCTCTACCCGTGAAACGGTGCTTGTCCATCTTTAGTTTCGGGCCACGTCCCTGTTTTGTAGCGAGATGTATCATATCAGACACTATGATGGTAAGGTATGTACGATCACGCGAGACTCAGAGATACTTGTGTGAATTCACCTTTGCGCAAGAAAGATTGCGTTACCAATTTTATTGTTGCCGTGGCAGTCGCTGCCTAACAGCGATGACAACTCGCAGTGGTTTGAAATGAACAGAGACATGCCATCGGTCCTGATTACGGCTCAATGGTCTAGTAGCATGATACGTGCTTCGGGAGGAAAACCCGCCACAAAAAATGTGGCGAAGATGTACGTGACCCGGGTTCAATTCCCGGTTGAGCCCATCTTTTTCCGCTGGGCTAGTCTCTCTGTTTTGCAGTTTGTTACCAGACGATGCTGCGGCTCTACGCGAATTGTTTTGGACCATGATTCAAATATTCACGAGTGAGCTGTGCTTCATTCGCTGCGAGCGTAAGGCCTGTTTATGTGTGGGCAGCCGCAGTAGGAGAAATAATGACAGGCCTAATTCTCCTTCCACGTTTCGACTGGTTTCTATCTGATAATTTTGCAGTCCTGTCGCAGGCTATGCACAACGCCTTGAGCCGAGAAACGCGTATCAGACAAGTGTACGCCTGGGCAGATGCAGGTCTTGGCTGTTCGTCGCACTCTGTTCGGGATTGGGATGGTGCTCATCCACGACAGACTGTTTTCGGTTTCTGCATTACGTGTTAATGTGCCGCTGGTGAGTGATGGTGTCACTGTCCCTTGAATTTGCGAACTCGGGAGCATGCACCGTTGAGTAACTGTCAGTAAGGTTGAAAATTCGATATGCAGTGTACACACGACTTGCTGCTCGTCCGTGCGTCTCATGATGGGCACGAAGAATAGAAACTTGGAGCGAGCGAGAGATTCGGGAATGGTTCTCCCCTTCCAGCGAACCTCAGGGCGGACACAGCAGTGCCACACACAACACGATTCCTGTCTCCCCCGTAAATGTCAGAAGATATTCTATAATTGCATTCCCGAAGTTCACACAGTCAGGAAGCTTAAACTGAAGTAGACGGATGCACACTATCCAATTGACAATCAACGATCCACCAAATGCCCTGCACTATGTAAGAGGAAACCTAAAGGGTGCGTATGTAAGATAGTTTTCAGGACGACAGATTGTGACCCGTACCTCAAACATTCCACCTCTCAAAGGACAGTGATAACGATTCTGCCTTCATAGTGCCGTCCGTGAACATCAACGGAATATTCCAGCACGACATCCTTTCCATCGAGCTTCAGCGTCAACGAGCCCTTAACGAAGGGCGGGAATGTAATGGGAAGTGTGATGCCATCGCATAGATTTCCAGCAGCCTTGGCAATTTGAATCTTGCCGAGGAGCGGGATGTACACATAGACTTCGATGACAATCACAAGTGTCTTCAAGTTTATAGAAATGTCAATCTGCACACAATAATCCATGAACGGGACTAGCAACATTGCAGCGATGCAAGAAAGCTTCACTTCGATACGACCAATGACAATCTTGAAGGTCTTGACATTCTCGTCGTTGCTTTCGACAGCATAGATGAAAGCGTCACCGTTCTGTGTCTTGATGACCTTCACTTTGGACTCAAATTCCTGGATAGCACCTGTGGGTATCAATGACTCGAAATCAGCCACAGCCCAACCCAACGAGTGAATCAAAAATGCTCACGGATGACATCTAATACGCACGAAAAAGAAGTAAGTAAAAATCCACCTATCTAATCCAAAGGACACTCACTTTCGCCAGAGATAATGGTGTCGTCGTTCAAGTCTTGGAACTGCTTGAAAGGGGGTTCAGCAAGTGATGACATTATGCTTGTACGTTGTTGGGCTGGTGCTGGTGCTGGTGCTGGTGCTAGTGCTGAGGGTAGACGACACCTTCCCAAGTCGCTTTTTATACGTGTGGGCCATCGTCATCCTCCAGGCCCGTTCCCAAGTACACGCCGAAACCTGAGAGATCAAACTATGCAAATGGCAGAAAGGTAGAATGTTAGTACTTGACGTCGGCGTCGGACTATGGTCCTGGCCGTCCAAGCATAGTGTCAATCCAAAGCGTTGATACTTGACTCTGGTTATGGGTCAGACAAAGATACGTGAGAGAAAGGGGCCGACGTGAAAAAATGTACATACATACTTGATGTCACGGGCCTGGATGGCGCCCGTTCGCCCCTGGGGCGTCGCAAAGGCATCATGCAAGACCACTTCGAGGTCACTGGTGTCACGATCTTGGGAGTTTCGCTTTATTGCACTATTTCAAGAGCCCACTGCTTCGTTCCGGCACTCCGAGATACTTGTATGCACTTCACCGTCCACGACAACAAAAATTGAGCTTTATGCGCTCGTGTTTACAAGCGATTTTTTTTTTTTCATTCGTGCTTGTGGAGCAGCAGCCCAGAGAAGACTTGGCTCCGAAATGATAAGGTGTACAGTCGAAAGAGGGCTAATGCCGTCTGCCGAGTCTTTGGTCTGCCTAGGGGAGAACAAGGTTGTGCGTACCAACTTGAAAGCATGTGCGACTGGAAATTTCCGTGATAAGCGGGCCGGACGGCCCGGATTTTGTACGTTGTGGACACCCACGCCAACAAGGGTTGAGTCTTGGGATGACTCGCACAGGTACGCATTGAACGAGTGTTCCTTACGGGTAGGATGTTCCTGCTTGGAAGCTAGTGGCAACAACTGACACGAGTTGACAAATTACAATGGAGCCCGATGCTTCGCGGATAGCCTTTGGGTAAATAATGGCTACCATTCATGTGGCAGCCTTACCGTACCTTCCGACTCCAGCGGAAGACCATGATAATTCCAATGGTCCGGTTGGTACTGCCAATCATAGGGTTCATACCCACGTCTATGTATTGTGCACACCGAATTTCCATGTCCGTGGTGGGCCTTATAGCGTGTAGTCAACATCAGGCACACTGGTCACTGGTCCCTGAAGACAACCGTAAGTGTACCAATACCTACTGGATGTACTCAGTCCGGCGGGCGCCATCCAGACCCGTGACATCAGATATGTATGTACACATCTTCACGTCCGCCCTTTCTCTGACATATCTTTGTCTGACCCATAGCCAATGTCAAATATCGACGCTTTGGATTGACATCATGCTCGGACGGCCAGGACCATAGTCCGACGCCGATGTGAAGCGTAAACATTCCACCTATCTGCCATTTGCATAGTGCGATCCCGGCTTTCAGCGTGTACCTGTGAATGGGCCTGGAGGATGGTGATGGCCCACACGTATAAATAGCAACTTGGAAGGGTGTCGTCTACCCTACAACACCAGCACCAGTACCAGCCCAACAACGTACAAGCACAATGCCATCATTTGCTGAACCCCCTTTCCAAAAGTTCCAGGACTTGAACGACGACACCATCATCTCCTGGCGAAAGTGAGTGTTCTTTGGATTAGACAGGTGGATTTTCACTTACTTCTTTTTGTCGTGCGCATTAGATGTCATCCGTGAGGCATTTTGCATTCACTCGTTGGGTTGGGCTGTGGCTGACTTCAAGTCACTGATACCGACAGGCGCCATTCAGGAATTTGAGTCCAAAGTGAAGGGTCATCAAGGCAGAGCATGGTGACATTTTCGTCTATGCTGTCGAAAGCAACTGACGAGAACGCCAAGACCTACAAGATCGTCATTGGTCCCATCGAGGTGAGGATTCCTTGGGTAGCTGCGATGTTACTATCCTGCTCATGGGTTATCGTGTGTAGATCGACATCACCATCGACCTGAAGAATCTCAGGATTGTCATCGAAGTCTATGCTAAGATCCCGTTCGTCGGAAAGGTTCAAATTGCCAAGACTGTTGGAAACTTGCGCGATGGCGTCACGCTTACCATCGGATACCCTCCCTTCATTGGGGGCTCGTTGACGCTGAAGCTCGACGGGAAAAACGTCGTGCTCGGATATTCCTTCGATGCCCTCGGATTCCACTATGAAGGTAGCAAGGTCATCATCACTCTCCCTTGAGAGGTGGAACTTCCTTTTGGGGTACAGTACACTATTCATGAGTCTTTCTCGATACCATCTAACATATGCATCTCTTAAGTCTCCTCTTGCGCAATACGGGGGAAATGGATGAGGCGGAGGGTATTATTACCAGTTTGCCAGCGTGTATCTGATTGTTTTGTGTGGATTGTAATCCATTTTATGTTTTTCCGATCGTGCGGATTTCCTGAAAGACAACTCCAAAACACCTTCCGGTGCTGTCATGCCACGATAGGAACTCTGTTGTAAGCCTACTACCCTACTGTGCACGTCGTGAGGGTGTATTATTCCAGGTGCTCTTGCTCATTGCGAACATGCGGTAAGTTACCCACATCCCTTCGATACCTTTACCTGTTTGTCGCTTCTACTCATGGTGAGCTCAACTATGGTTGCACAATGTACAACGGAACCTGACGAAAAACGCAGTGTGCGCATCCAAATCTCAGTTGCTATTAGGTCACACTGTGCCCTTCAAACCTCGGGTTCCGCCCTTTATCACTAACCCTCTCGCCACGTCCCAGAATCAGAGAGGAAAAATGCTACCTTCGTACTGAGTCCCGCCAACATTTAGTCCTCGAAATTCGTCCACAGATTGGAGGGAACTGACATTATCGAAGGTGGTTACGATTTTGTATGCACGGTTTTGACTGTATATCCGGCCGCCCCTTCCCTTTATTCTTCGCTTTCTTGCAGCGAACGTGGAGTTGGTCGTGGTCAGGACGGAAACGGAAATCAAGCACTTGGAATGGAGGAAAAAAGGCTCGTCCAACTTGCGGGTGATACGGATATAACAGTTGGCGTCGAACCGGGCAGCGAACCCGCAAGTTGGAACGCACCTCCGCGTAATCGTGTGGTCTCACCTTCTGAATCGCCCTTGATTTTCACGACGTAGATCACGCCTCCTCCCTCTGCTGAAAACCATGTCACCCTCTTCAAATTCATCGTCAAACATGGAGAAGAGTTCCTCTGGAGAAGTGCCGGGTAGCGGGAGGTTAGTGGAAGGGAAATGAGATAGGAATTAAACATCGACACATCGAATGCAGAGGATGCTGCATCTGTAGGAATGTCATGAGGGAGTAGTGACGCCATTAGAGTTCGACAAGGGCGTCGGCGTCAAAGACACGTTCATCGTAGACATGGAGACACTGAAACGATCGAAGCCATTGTAGTTAGCGATGCGAACACACTGATGCGCCTGTAGAACAAGGGAGGTGTATCGAGTCCCACTCCTGATTGATGAACTCGCGAAACCGGCAGCCACACAGAAACCAGCCAACTTGAACTTGAAATACACCATTGAATGCTTCAAGAA